TCAGTTAGAGATGCTCCATGTGTTCTGGTGCTAACAATCCCAAGAAGTCCCTAATACCTCAGTGAGGTAGACTCATGCATGTAACTGGAAAAACTATAGAAGTAAAATTCGCTTTTGCAGTGAGCTGATGGAAAGCAGGGGGTTTTCAGTCCATCTGTTTAAAGTGTATGTGTAAGTCTATTGGTTACTTTTGCTATTTGTTTTACTTTAAAGATTTATTCAGACATCTCTCCACAGAGCTTTCTAGATATGTCTGAAAATTATTTCTGCCCTTTTTTTAGAAATAGATTGATTACCCAAATTTTCTCTGTAGCACAGAGAATTTCTGTTAGAACAGAACATGTTAAAAGTGGTCTTATTTGGTTACATACGGCTGTCTGTCAAGGAACTGTAGCCTTTTTTTATTCTGGAAATTTTTACTTTAATAAGATAACACTTCAAATAATGCCAATAACTTCAATAACTTCGAATCTGCATACACTGAAGGCCTCCTTGTGTCACTTGCACAGTGGCACAAAAGAGAGGCAAAATGTCACTAGAGCCACTTGTGCAGAAAAAATCTAGCATTGGCTTCCCTGCAGCCACTCTCCCTTGCTGACTGTGAGACAGCGACAAATTTGGGCTTGGGATACCTATTCTGCAGGGTTCCTTTTCAGTTCTCCCCTAAGAGAGGAAATTTTATACTCAAGAGTCTTTTTTTTCATTGAGCAGTAACACCTGATGGTGTCAAGTACTTTAGAACAGTAATTTTCTTGTGAGGACTGGTGTGAAGGAAAAAAAAGAAGTGTCTTCAAAGCACTTTAGGTCACTAAAGCCTTTGGGAGTTGATGGAAGTTCGGGAGCTTGATATCTGAAGATATTTGAAGATCTAGGGATTAGTTTATAAGTGAATGGCCTGTGACTATAAATTGCCATATGCATTCCAGCATTTACAGAGACTGTGGATACAAGCAAAAAGTTTTGTAACTTTAAAGGAAAAGTTTCCTAACTCCACCTTATTTAGTGAAGGGTATTGCTATGTGGTTCAACATATCTCCAGGAAATATGATGAGATAACTTCTACTGATATGGACTACAGGACTCTTGTAGCTCTTCATTTTAAGTTGAACAGATGCATGAACTTAGAACCAACCTTTCAAGATTTTTGATTTTTTTCCTGGAATTTAAATTAAACAAGTTGAGTAAACAAATCATGCTCCCCAAACTCGGGCCAAATGTTAAGAATTTTGGACACCAGCTGGGTGGTGATTCAATGTATAGACATATTTAGCAATCTAGAGCCACAAGCAATTCTACTAAAAAGGGAATATTTAAAGAAACGTCTAAGAATAGTTTCAACACTCATATAGAAACATTCTGTCATGCAGGTACTCATCCAAAGGTTGGCAGGCATTCAATTCAGTACCAGAGGAATCCTGAGGAGGAAAAAATACCATGATGCCACCCACCCACTTAATAATGTGTAGTTTTTGCTGTATAATTTGCTATAAGCACTTTGAGGCTGAGAATGTTCCCACAGAAGTTAGGACAAGAATGATGCTCCCCCCCCATTGTTTAAGAAGTGATTAGGGTTGTCTAAGCAAAAAGTATGTGCTGCTAACAACTCTTACTGAAAGGGTTTTTAATGTTAACAGAATTCCCAGTCTCATTTTTTTACATTTAATTCCGAAATATTTATCTGTGCTCTTTTTGCACCTCATGTTACTACATTGCTGATGTGCAGGATGTATGCAGGCACAGCGTAGATTTATATTCTCTGACTTGGTTCAGCTGCATTCAGTGTACGGTGAAGGGTGGAGGATGCAAATCGCCCTTTCCTGCTGTGACCACAACCCCGAAACAAGCCATCACTGCATTGCTTCACCCAGCTGCGGAGCTTTCTTCTGGAAACATGCGCCTCAGGGGGCTGTGGAAGGAGCCCTCACAGTCACCAGCTACAGCTGGCTGCTTGCTGCTCTCTGCACGAGCAGGGCAGGCAGCTAGAACAAGTGCCAGAAATGGTTCCGTGGAGCCCAATTTTGGATCCATAAATTAAAAGCACTTAATGTGAACTGGTCCCCTCAGATATAAACCACAAATTGTTAGCAGAGCCTCATCCATTTTCAGCCATCCTCAGAAATCAAAAGCTTTTGTCTTCTGGTAGGCAGCCTTTAACTCTGAAAGTGTCCTGAATACTGATTTCATGGGAAATATGAGATCAAGGAGCTTGATTCATACTAAGATGAAATCTAATTTGAACTTGCTATAAATCAGGAAAAAGAAGGGTTAAATCAGTGTACTGTTAGTACAGCAACAGAGAAACCGGGATGTTCTACCCAGCATTTTATAGCAGGGAAACAATTTTTCTGTGGAAATAGCTTAATTAGCCCCTTTTTTTACCTTAGAATCTTTCATAAATGGTTGCACTTCTTGTATTGCAGTTCATATTCCAAGATGTGCTAAATCTTTTTTGCATTTTACAGCAATACCAAAACCTCAACATTCAAGTTACAATGCCTAACCCTGTTAAGTCCCCATTAACTAAGATGAAAGATTGACAGTGTATAGCTAATGTATTTGTTGAGTACTGGTTTTATATTGTTTTTCACATTTCAAAGCACAGTCGGTCAGTCCTTTGTATCGACTGAAATTATTAATAGAATTACAATCATAAGAAAATCAGAGGTAATTGGGGATATAAGGCTGAAATAAATTAAATATACAGCAGTGTCCTAAAATGAGTTTCAAATGCTGGTATTGAACTCAATAAAAGGCAGGATATTTTGAGTGGAGCAAAAATCAATTTATTTGGGTATTAATAATTGCAGATCACAGGTTGAATATCATATTGCTCCAAAATTGTTGACAAGTCAGAAATGAGTCCATATGTGTTTTTCTTATTTTCTCATTTTCTGCGATGAATTTTTTCCTCTTGCAGTATTGCTAAAAAGATTTTTTTAACGTTCAAAAGCCTTAACATTAAAGGTTTGAAAACATTTATTTTGAAAACATTTTATTTTTCAAATTTATAATTAGTGTTTGCGTATACTTATGTACATTTTGTCTTACAGAAAAAGTAGCAGTGACTTCAAAAACTAATGTTAAGTTTCAGGATGCAACAACTGGAGAAACTTAATTCCAATCCAAACAGATTTTTCCAGTTTAATATGTCTCAATTTGTAGCCTTGTATTGTTTTAAAATATTTATTGTATTAGCTCTTATTTAAGCTGCACTAGCAGTTGCTGAAAGCTTTTACTCTCAGTAATTTTTTGTTTTAAGTGCCAGTTGCAATTCAGCTAACATTTCGAAAAATGAATAACATGGTCCTGTATAAGATGAGATAGTAGTGAATCAGATAATATAAGTCTGTGAGTTTCTATACATTTTAACATATTATCGTGAATTATTCAGTATAATAATTAATCTTTTAGCATATTCTTTATCTTGCTTCTTACATATAAGAAGTATCTTCTACAATTGCAACAGTGCCTTCTCCAGCTTGGCTTTCAGAAAGAGGTTCTGCAATACTTTGAAAACAAACATGAAAGCAAACGTTTTAGTGAAAAAATGGTTGGAGAATATCTACAATGAGTTAGCTATGGAAGGCACCATTTACTTTGTGCCATGATATTTTTAGGTCTAGAATTAGAATTTGTTTGTGTAGAGTGGAACTGTCTGCCAACAAAATGCTTTGTACAGAAAAACATTAACGGGACACATCAAATATTTAAGTGAATTTGTATTTTGAATAGTTAAAACTTCCATTAATTCATGACTCAATGTGTATATCTGTATCAGATGAGCTAAAAGGGCAAGAATGTTTTAATTTCCTCATAGGTTTGCATTCCTTTATTAGAATTTAATTTGCATTGTGGTGAAAATTACTTATCCTAGCTCACTGTTCCTAAGAACTGTTATGTATTTTAATGCCATTGAAATAAAAAAGCATTTATTGCCAGCAGAAGACTGCTTGAAAATCTCATAACTTTGTTGTAGTTTGCTCACATGTAAGTCATATTTCATACAGAGAATGATGCTAAGGGAAAGATACCTCTGAAAATATAAAGTATTCAGAAATTAGCAAGTACAAGTTTTGCCATGCAGTCAAAATCCTTTTTTATCTACCTTCTGATAGCCATCACATATGCACTCTGTGATAGAACCACAATTACATCTAGCTTTTCTGGGCTTTTATCCTGTGCTGTAACAGAAGGTGCTTTTTTTCCTACTGTAAAACATTCTTCCTTTAATCACAGTACATTCTGCACACTTAATGAGGTAGGGGTATGTTATCATGTCATTAAAGACTATATCATAATATATAATAAATGGGAGCTGATTCAAGACTGCATCACCTTTGATGTGCTCAAATTTGCAACTGTAATTTTCTTCTTTTTGTATGTTATGTAAATATAGAACCAAGTTCTGTTATATGCAACTATATTGAAATCATGTAGATCACTACCTGATTTACTCAGGCTGTCTACTTCCATGGTTCTTCATAGACTTCGGAATTTCATAGGTTTGTAAATTGATTAACTGTATATAGTTACTTACCCCAAAAATTTTTTGATGGGTGACCATCTGCCTATATTTACCTGTAGTGCATTTTTTTATAGCTTTGTGTCAGCCTTTAGAAAATATAATTATTTCAAGATAAACAATGGTACTAGTATTATACTGAATTGTCCATAATGTTTGATCAATTGTCCATAGTGTAAGATCAATTCCTCTGTGGCCCTAAGGGAAAAAGAAGCTTAATTAGAATGCTAGACAGATTTTGGTAGAAGCATAATTTACTATAGTGAGTCTTGAAGATTGCCTTGAAGATAGTGTGTAGGCAGTCAGGGAACTAGTTTTATGCAGAAAGGGTACACCCACAGGCACATGGGGCAACTACATCTTACTCTAACCTTCAGGGAAAACCAGCTCAAATTTAGGTTACTAATCTTGTGTTGAACTTTGACCATCATGCATAAGGATTGCTTTTCAAACATATTTACATTATAGCTGCTACCTTATAAAAATTGAACTCACAGGCACACAAAAAAAAATGGAGAGGAATGAAAGGAGACAAGGAGAATTTGTTTAATAAGTAGAAGTGATCCTTTGTTGTTCTCATATAAACCATTATTTCTCTCCTTGCCAAAATGCCAAAATGTGCAGAACAAGAAAATGCATGCACACGGGGGCTCTTCTTCACTCCAGTCGTAAGTCTTCAAGAATCAGCTTTCCCAGCCAACTGAAAAACAGTTACAGCATTAAGAGGGGAGAAAATCCTGAGTTCAGGGATCAAAAGACTTCTAGCAACATGTTAGAATCTAGAATAGTGAATTATTCAGACCCCAAAAAGTTGAAGTACTGGACGTAGAGGTACTGAGAACAGTGTTAGTAAAACAACAATGCTACAAAAGAACCTCTCAAACCCTTGCATTCCTTATATCTAATCAGTATTTTTACTATACATAAAAAGTTATATACCAGTTATTAAATATACCAGTTATTAAAAGAAGTTGTCATACTTTCACTATCTCCATTTAGCTATTTTCTTTTGAAATTTTTAAACCACTGTTTAGCTCCATATTGTTTTCAACTCTAAAATTACATCAATAAACAATATACCAAAATACCTCAATCACTCTCATTTTATTTCATCCCATCTTCCATTTCCAGACTTTTCACTTGCGTTATTTCCAGTCCTCCAGTTTGTCCACAGTATAGCTTTGATGCTGTAATTACAGTGATAGTTTTATTTCTGAATCTGTGTTGTCAAAAGTGAGCACCTGTGCATACTTGTGTTTGTTTGACGTGTTGATCTGAATATAGGAGGTACAGTGACAATTTGATTGCTTATTTGGCATCAAGTTCTGATTAAAAATGGACAGTGGACTCCTGTCATTTTGGGCAGGAGATTAATACAAATTCTCCAGTCAAAGAACTTCATTCCCATATTAGTGGAAAACAGCTATGTCACGCAAACCTGTCTAATGATGCATGATCCTCAGAAGGTAGATTCATAGTATTTCCCTCTCCTGCTTTGACAGGCACAGCTGTAGTCTGTTCATCTCCAGAAATAGCTCTGCCAGTGCATGCATCACTTTCCTGATGCTTGACATACCAACCTGTACGTTTATCTGTTGCCTGATGCACATGAGTGCCCACAGACACCTTTCCTTCTCCTCCCTCCAGGAGGAGGGTGTCCTGGGGGAGCCACCTACCTTCTCTCTTTCTCCCATAGGAAAAGTTGCCTAAGTTCTCCAGGCTGAATTGTCTGGTGAAGTTTAGGACACACTAAACTGAGCTGGATGTCATTTCAGTACTGTAGTGGAAGCAACCTCTCCAATGGACTGAAACAGTTCGGGAAAAATATTTTTAGAAAGTGGAAGCATTATTCCCAAATTGAATTAATCATTGAGAATGTTGGCAGCACTTCTATGTGTGGTGTAGATATAATACTTGAATGACTTTAAAGTAGCTCCATGGCATTTCAAGAAACAGTTTTAAGTAATACTAATTAACTTCAAAAGAAGAAGGAGTAAAAAGTGTTTTCTTTTTTATTTAGTTTTTAGATAAGTGCTGTCTCAAATTAAATGAATCATGAAAAATTTAAATTGTTAGAGTGCCACTCCTATAATTTGATCACTGTTTAATTTAATTTTTTGTTTTATTTAATCAGAGCCACAGGAACCAGCTCATTTGTACTGTAAATTACACAACTTCTGCCCTTTATTTCATATATGGTTGTTCACTTCTGGCAGATAAGATTGGATTATCTAATCATTGGCTATATGAAATTGCCATTTAATCAATAGGGAAGGTCAAACAAAATTTCTCAATGTGATCCTGAAGCACAGTATCTTAGGATATTGGAAGGTGGTGAAATCCAACTAAACCTTTATAAGTTTGCAACATTATTATTTACTGTGGGATCATTATTACTGTAACAAATGTCTATTTTTATCTTCTCTTGCCACTTACAGTTGGATGACCAAAGTTACGGCTTTGGTTACTGATTATAGGTACTGATGATTTGATGGAGTTAGCTCTTTTGCTCATCAGTGTCTTTGGTTGTTGTTTGAGACAAGAGATATGAGTTTTATTCTGCCTGTTCCGCAAATATGTAGTTAAGGGATAGACATCTTCAGTCACTGAAATATGTCACTGTGAATATAAAGCTAATTTTTTACTGTTTAAAAAACATATCCACACTTTTTGTTTTTCAGTCTGCAGTTAGTGACAAACTGGTGGAATATGCTTCATCCTTATTGCTCTATCAGTGTCATGTAAGCCAAGCAACAATACAGTGTCCTGCACTCTGCCTTTTGAATTGTGTTTGTCCTAGGATTAAGCTTTTGCTCCTCTGTTACTCAGCAGATATGTTTGACTTTTTTCAGGATGGCTGTTATTGTTCTCAGGTTATGCTCTGGTTAATGACCAGACTAATGATGTCCTCTAACTTCTATCACACACCCATTGCTTTGCCAAATGTTTGAAATGCATGTTGTGATGTTTAGTTTGAATGGGTTCTGCTGTGTGCACCGCCCACTCTGATGGCATTTATTTCATATCCTTTTCATCAACACAAATCCAAATATACTCCCAGATAAGTGACTGTTGGTAGTCCTTTTTATTTCAGCTCTTCTTCTCAGCTGGTTTTTTTTTTAATAACTAACATTTTATACAGTATATTTGTTTGTAAGTAGATCTGCTGAACACAACATTGGCACAGACAGGTGAATAGATGTCTGAAAGCTTAATTATTGCAACAAACACATCTGGCTACCCATGCAGAGGATTTTGCTGGCCTGTACCGACAGAGGAGAAGCTTTAGTCATTACTGGTAGGGAAATATATTGTTTGGAGAAGAGTCTGTTTCTGGCACATATATTGTTCAGTAGAGTGAAGGATTAGGAATAAAGACTGGTTGTTTTTTGACAGTAAATGTAAGAGACACAAGTTTAACAGCTGGGCTGAGCAGAAAATATCTGTATCTGCTCTTGTTTGAAATTTTCTGGAGAAGGGTTTGCTGTTCCATGACAACCCAAGATCCTTATGCATCCTACAACTTTTTGTGGAGGTATGTGAAGAAGGAACTGAAATGGATCATAATGACAATGCTGAGAAAGTTTTACACAAGCAGTTCTTGCTGAGGCTTTATGTGCCTTATTTGGAATTTTCTGTGTAAACCAATGCTCCGAGGGCAGCAGATTATATGAGTCAGAGGAGCAGGACCATCCTGTAGAAGAGAAAGCTAATGATAACAGACCAACGATGATAATGATAGGCAATGACAGCTGGATCATAGCAAGTATGTGCTCTGCTCCATGGCTATCCTTGGGAGACCTCCGTATCAGAAACTCTCTCCAAATTCATGGCTAAAATGGCAGTTAACAGCAATAGCAGAAGGATTTTGATTTGCCTTCAGACAACAACTGAGGCTTCTCCTGGCACAGGAATTGCTACTCCCACCTCTACGGGCCTCACAAAGTGATCAAGGTCTGTAGGAGTGTGTGGAGTTAAGCCAAATGGCAACAGAATATGACTACAGGAAGACAAGTCATGGGAAGCAGAGATGCATGTTTCTTGTTTCAACTCTCATAACATCCTGCCTTAGCTCCCCATTCACAAAAGCAGATCTTTTACTAACTCCCTATGTTCCTCTTACTCCAGGAAGTTGTTTTCTCATTTGTATGTGTTTTAACTGGTAGGAACTATGTTAGTAACTAAATGTGTCCATTCCTAAATCATGGGCAAATACAGGAAAATATTCCAGTTTTCCTTTCCAAATTAACTATACTCCAAAGTGGTTAAATATAAATAATTATCTGCTGACATCACATGCAATCAGAAACCTGCTGTGCTCATTCTAGACCAAGTTCAACCACAACACAATCTTTGACCTGAAGGAATTAAACATTTATTGCTTTTGTAGCAATTTTTTCTTCAGCTGCTTTTCCTAATGTGTATTTTGTTCATTTGTTTGTTTCTGGAGCACTGTCTTCAGAGTACATGACAAGGCAAAGAAAGAACAAAACATTTATTTTTTTTTTAAATATTGTGACATATATCACATTACTAAAGTCACTTTGCTGAAATTTGTGTGTCTCATTTATTTTAGGGGTAATTTTACTGGGTTCTAGTCAATAGAACTGTGAAACTACCACACCAAAAAAATCCACTGAACTCCATACAGTCTTCAAGTGATAAAAAGAGACTGAAAAAACACAAGTGTGTATTTTCTACAAAAGTTTAAAAGATGAACCAACAGGTCAAAATCAAGTTGCAAACCTCTCAAGAATAATAAGACAGTAAACTTGATGTTGCATGATATTTGACATACAGCAAATGACTATTTACATTTTATCCCAAAACATTTACCTGAGAAAAGGTCATGGTGTTAAATTTGGAGACATTTACAGCAATTGCCAAATGTTTACTATCTACATGAATGTCATGCTTCTTAGTCAAAAGAAGGTTGATGTGCTAAATGTCAATTATTTCAAGTTGTTTGATGGCAGCACAGATTGCCAAGCAATATAAAAAGAGGTTTAATAAATACTATATACACTGTTAACCATTAATCTTGCCTAACTCTAGAGGTTAGAGTTTCACATAGAGAGGATTTATGACAAGCAACTGTGCAGGACATTAAAACACAATTATTGCTGCCTTGGATGAAGGCATTATCATTAAGTTGTGGAAGCAGTACCTTGTTTTCTTCTGATATTGCTGTCAAAACTTGGGAAAGCATCAGGGACAATTAAATTACTTTGGGAAATCATGCCATTAGCTTCTTCTTGCAATATTTTGTCCTTTTTAGAATAAGCAATGAAAGGACTAGTCAGTACCCTTTGCAAGAAATCTAGAAATTCAAACAATATCTCCTATTGAACTGTGAGCAAATTTTTTGCTAGGACCTCCTGTTCTTGGAGCTAACCCAGAAGTTAGACCTATAGGAATAGAGATTAAGGACATCAAAATTTTATGTCTATTAAGGAAATGTAAGCTATGCATGTCTAATAACTTACTCATCCACCTATTCCAGAGCAAATATTACTATAAAATATTGCCCAGAGGGGAGTACTTGGTCAATTCAGAACTGGAAACTTCTTGAAAAGACCTGTGAAACAAAGCAATTGTGATTTCAGCATTAGAGTCTTATGCCTATATACGGAGTAAACTTCAGAATACTTAATTGACCTGCTACACAAGTCTGAAGTCCCGGATGAATGATGAAAGCATCATTTCAGGAAGGCTGGACAGAGTATATAAAATATATTTCTTTGGAAAAATTCGGTTCTTTTATTAAAAAAGTCACATGGTAGTTGTAACATTCTCTGTGATAGCATAACTGTTGCAGTGGTAACTTTGTTTTCCATCTTTCTTTAAGTCATGGTTTTTCACATTTTGGTCTGACAGTTTCTGTGGAAATCATCTTGTTGCAGGTGATAACCACAAACACTCCAAAGTTCTTTCAGACACCTGTTCCCAAGATAAGCTTTCAAACATTCTTACAGGCCTCCTATACAAGTAATATGATGTCTCTTTGGGTATATCTGAACTTTTGACTGATGAAATCTATATTTCTTAGGTAGATAGATCTTCCTAGTCTGATTTGAAAAAAATCTGATCTAAAATATTGGCTGTTCAATTTTATCTGGAAAGTCTTTGTCTCTTTATCTAAATGTATGTACTGTATGTACTCATATACACTACCTCTGTACATAAT